GGCTTATAATGGCTTATGAATCTTAGATGATCTTGGCAACATGTCACGTCCAAATCCCAAAAAGACAAACATGAACCAACCATAATTACCCATGGACCTCTGTTCAATCACCCCAACTGATCGGCATATCTTGCAGTCCCATGGAGTGTTTGTCAAAGCAAATCGATTCTGTTCTGTTCATCCATCTGGTCAGTTTGGTGTACAAAAATCGGTTGCTTGGTCGCTTGGTGATGGTTTTGCGGCATGTATCTTCCCAAACGCGACCCTCTAGACCCCTGGAGGTGTCTGGGGTCGACCGGCCACGGTTCGGGCGTTGGGAGAGAGTGGAAAGTCTGGGAGAGAGGTCTTGAAGATCTTCTTCGTTGCTTGCTGTTCCCATCCAAGGGTCTAGAGGGTCTCTATAGCCGACCTCCAGAGCATTCTCCAGTGCTGCATTCTCCAGTTTTATTGATGCTATCTTGGAACATTGCAAGAACAACTCCCAGGGGCTCCATTCAGAATATTCAGAAGTCATCAACCTCCGTAACTGCCCAAGCTCTCAAAGTCACCCACCACCTCAACATGTCTTCTGAAGCGGAAGAAGCGCTGTGAAGCGCCTATGACTAGCTCCGACCTCTTGATCGTCTTGCATATCCCAAACACTCCGTGGGGCATTGACCCAGGGTCAATCAACCACCCCAGGCCTTTTCTCGGCCAATATGCCAGTCCCAAACAGGTCGTGCCTGGGTATTTCTTGATTGTACATGGATTTCCGGGTCAGATAGAATGGGTGGAACCAATCCGGAACGAGCTGTGGGGGAGTCGCCAAAGCCCTCCCTCTATCTTAGCTTGGGGAACCCCCTAGGGTTAGGCCTTTTCTGGGTACCTACTCCAAGATGATCCATAGACCCTCTGGCACTCCAAGATGATCCGCTCCTCCTTTCTTCGTTACCGCGCATCGGTCTTTCTCGCTCGGGGACGCTCTCTTTGAGAGGGCCCCCCCTGCGATTGTCGATGTCGGTGCAACGGTCTCCTAGTCGCACGTGCCAGTCCAGTCATCTATCACCACCAAACTTGTGGAGCTTGTGGGGTACCCGGCTTCTGTAGATTGTCCTGTCCAAAATTCCCACCCAAGGCAGGACCCAACCCGATCGCGGTCCGGGTGACATGACCCGAAACCAGCCAGGGTGAAATGGACCGAACCAACATGTAGCAGTTGGTTCAAGTCCAGGGTCGCCTCTGGGCATGAAGTAAACGCAGCTTCCCAGGACAACCTAAGGGGCTTCTATTGATAGTTTTTGTTAGATGTGAAGGGGTGTACATGAACCACCCCGACAGTGGGTCCTGGTCTATCTCATCCAAGTGTGTGAAATCCTCCTCACTCCGCTGCGCTGATCAGGGGCCTTTGGACCGGCACCTTGCATCTACCGCATCGACTACTTCTGTCTGAATGGCAGCGGTGTTCCGTTTTGGTCAAGGCTTGAAGCACTGGATGCTGCTGTCAATGGGATCAGAGTCGTCATAGCAGGTAGCAGGGAACCAGTAATTAACCATGACAGACCAAGGCTTTCAAAAGTGTTGGAACTGAACCCCCTACTACAGGTCAGTTGGACCTCATTTTACTTAGAGCTGATCACAAAAACATTGGGTCTGAGGTTTTCAGGACCTGCAAACCAGCCTGGACCTGCAAACCAGCCTGGACTTGTAGGGGTCATATTGCACAAAAAGTGGAGTTCAAGCGCCCTTGATGCGAGTTTGTGCAGCACTCAGTGAGGGTGGTCTTTCCGTTGCTGCCGTCCTCCGGATTCAGCGAATCATGATTTGTGACAAGTCAGGCCGGCCATGGCCGGCCATTGGGCAGAACTCCCACGAGCTTCTTGGCTCCACCCAATTGGGCGGATGCTCCGAAGCGAATCCTTGAGAAACGTCAAGTCCTTTGAAGTACTTTGGACCAGGTAGGGGAGGGTGAGTGGGAAGGTCTATCTTTCATCCTTCATCACACTGGACAGCTGCCACTGACATTCTGTCAAGTCAGCCCAAGTCAGCGACTCAGGAGCGTTTGGAAGATTGACTTCCAGGCGACTTGGCTTCCGTCCCCGCAAACACCTGTCTGGGACTGGCATATGACCGATCCCAGTGGTGGACCCGCCGCGCTCCCGCGCTGGAAGCTACGGTCTCCATTGTCAGCATTCACCCATTTCGCAGCGTTGTGAGGCCAGGGGGGGGGTTGATGGACCCGATTTCTTTCTGTGGCAGCATCTCCTCCAATCCCAGACGTGTCTCGAGCCCTCCTCAGCTGTTGATCACGGTGGTGCGCTTCTGCTTCAAGGTGCCGCGCTTCTTCTTCTGCCCCTGCCCACGAGACGCCCCGCGTCGCGTCAATTGTGCCTCCGAAGTCCCCCCCTCCAGGGGACGAACCGCCGCCGGTTCGAACCGAGCACGGATCGGGCAGAAGATCGGGGTGCGATTGGGGTCCCTTCGATCAGGCGAAGTGGCCCACACTTGATTTTATACCAACACCCGACTCTACACCCAACAGAGGTTGAAGGACCCTATAGACCATCCCATAGGTACCCCAGTAGGGTCCTAGTTCAGGTCACTGGCTACCTCTCTTGGAGGTCGCCACCTGCGACTTGTTGCCAATGCTAACTCAGCCTCCATAACTCGGAGACTTGTTGATCGTCGGGTCCTGCGACTACGAATTTTACGATCAACCAGATCAACAAAGTTTTCTTGGACTTCCAAGGCTCTAACTTGGGGTGGTCGATTGACCCGGGGTCCATGGCATATAGTCGATAAGGGTCTGGGAACTATAACAAGTTTCAGCCGACCAAGGTGAGTAGATACTCCTTAGCTGATGAGCTGCGCCAGTGTTTTCAGATGTCTTCAGTGGCCCCTCTCGCACACCACGATATATTTGAACCTATCCGAACCCACCCTAGAATGAAAATGGGACATGACCCTAAAAGAGCGGTATATCTTGTACACATTTTTTTGAGGCACTTGGAGGGTCTATACCTTTGCTTCTGTACTGATCTCTTGGAAGAAACCAGCAACTTATTTCAAGGATTCCGGGGTCCTGCTAGAAGACTTCTTCCTTTCAATAAGAGACCCATCAAGGAGTCACTCCTCAAATTCGCCTCAACTTTGGCTCTTGGGTTCTGGGAGCAGCCGACACTTCACCACGGACTGAAACCTCCCCCCCCCCCACCCCTGGGGCCCCCCCCCCCCCCCCCACCCCCCTGCCTTCTCCTTTTCGGTGTAATCGTCTACCAGATCATCGCGGATCTCCGGCAGCTTGGAATCCGGCGCCCAGATCTCGGCGTCTTTGCTCCGTTTACCCGTCAGGACCGTCCACCCTGGAGACCCAGACCCGACATGCCCAGGTTCGGTGGTTAGTTGGGGTGGTTGCCAGGTTGAGGGGTCCAGTCCTTAGCTGGAAGTCCGCCCCATGGCAAATCGGGACAACACAACCAACACCTGATCCCCAGGTCCCGGTGCCTCTCGGTGCCTCTCGGTGGATGCCTAACAATGGTGGAAATATATGGCAGTGGGTGATGTCACTGCCCGTCTTTCGCTAGGTCAAGCTACATCCTGGACTCGCACTCCAGATGTCGTTAGTTTCTAGAGATTAGAGATAGTCTCCATAATCTCAACCTTCACACATCCATACTCTAATGGCATGTTAATAAATAACATAGAATTAATTGGCATGAAATTCTTATTGTGGAGGTCTAGAAAATTGTGGGTTGAGATGATGCAGGAGGCGCCCCCCCATCTTTTCATCCCTGTGTTTGGCCACATCCAAACGAACTGCTTCTGTCCAAGAATGCTTGAAGCAAGAAATCTCACACCCTTTTCACGAACTCCAAAGCACTATTGTTCCATGCACCTGAAAATACTATGCGATTCCAACGATTCCTACACCTGGCCGGGTGGAATTTCTAACATCTTCCCAGCCAGTTTTCCTGGAAAAGGGTGTTCACTGAAGTTCAGTGTCCCAAAATCCGCCCCGCCAACAGAACAACTTTGCCAAATGTGAGTTTAACCCTTGTTTTTTCCGCCCAAAAAGCGACCCGCAACAGCAGGGGTCGGACCCGAATCCGCAGTCGGTCCGGGGGTCTCAATTCCGGCTTGGAGGGACCAGGAACGGGCTGTTTTCACGGATCGTCACCGGGGGGGAGGCTTTTCCTGCGTATACTTGGATCCACCTGCCCACCCAGTCGCCAAGCCGGAGCAAGTGCCAATGTTCGCACGCACGGACTCGTTCACGATCTCCCGGTCTTCGCGGTACTGCGCCTGGTCGACTCGACGACGGTCCGCTTTCCCCCAGGTCGGACGAGAGGGTCCCGCGACGCTGATGGGGGGGGGGGTCGTGGGGCAGGGCGGGGCAGGCGGGAGCGCTTTGAGGTGGTTTTCCGCGGTGCACGTTTGGAGGTTCTTTTTTGTGGCTGGACGCTGCAGATTGTTTCGTGAGGGGCCAGAGTTCACCCCGGTGTTGGTGCATTGTGGATGGAGACCATGTCATCGTCATCCACTGCCAATGTTTGGAGGGTATACGGATGGATTTGCTCAGTCGAAGGCTGTAAATCAGGAGGTGTTTGTGGGCTCAGCCCAGCGCTCTACTTGGCAGTATTTTGTACTTGGTTCCTCTCAGAAAGCGATCTTGAAAAAGGATTCTAGTCATTACCCCAGAAGCTTCGCTGCAGGTCTATGCTCCATGACCGTCCCATGCTCCATACGTCTCTCCCCCTCACCTGTCATGTGCGTCGCCACGCTACGAGCCCTGTCAGGGCCATAAAGGCACTCTGTCGGTGGGCCGGTTCCTGTGGTGCCCCGGTCACGTCCACGGCCCCAAACGGATGGGACTATAGCCGACAAAGCCACACCCCCCCAGGAGCTCCAGATGTGACTCTTGGAATAGTCATCGTTCGCTTCCCCAGGTAACAAAGGTTGAAGGACCCGAACGTTCGCCTATCCCAGTTCGGTACCTTGAGTAAGGTCCTATTTACGGTCACTGGCTACCTCTCTTGGTAGGATTGAACCCGAACGTCATGGTCATCACCGCCATGCCGTTCCCAGCTCGCGAGCGGCAGAAGCGCGTGTCGTGCCTCGGCATAGGCCAGAGCCACTCCGTTGCCCTTCACCGCTTCGAGGGTCCAGCGAGCGTCCACACCGGTGGGGCGCATGAAGGACAAGGCTCGGCCGTGCTTCGAGGAGAGCTGCAGCATCACTCGATTCCACTCCTGGCGACGTCGACGAGTAGAGTCGGATCGAGTAGAGTCGGACCTCTTCCAGATCCATCTGCTTCTCTCATCAAGTCAAGGGTAGTGAGTGCCCACCAAGACAGATCTTCATGGTGAACCGAGCACTTCAATCTTAGTAGTGCCCACCCTAAGAATCCAAACGGGCCCTCCATGGCAAAGGGTCGGACCCGACACCGAAACGCAGGGGTCCGGGCCCGAACCACACCCTCTATACTTGTTTGAGGGCCCGGATTCTTAGTGCCCAGTGCAGTTGATGTCTGATGTCTCTTCCCCACCAAACCTCGGTAACTCCAGGCCTCCAGACTCTTGGTCTGGTGGTTTTTGAGTCGCTGCAGGGGTAGGATGGAAGTAATAGGTTCTTTCGGTAACTCCAGGTAGGTCTGGTGGTTTGTTGAGTCGTACCTGTATAGGGGTAGGATGGAAGTCATTATTTCTTTGACCTCCAAGGGCTAGGGATTCTTGGCTAAGCAACTGAGGGATGGGTAGATGGAAAGGAACTCCATTGAAGTCCATGAATACCCATCCTGATGAACATTCAAACCAAACAAGACTGCACACATAGGCAAAAATGGACCTGGTCAGCACCCTCAGCATGCAAATCTCCTGGCAAATCTCCTTCTGCTTCTTGGCCTGTTTTTCCACCTCTTCAGCATCCTGCAAGCCCGTCCAGGTCTCCTGCGCAGGGTGGAATTTCCAGGATCTCCCAAGTCGATGGCCAAGTCTCTGAAATTCTGGATGGACCGTCACCTGTCTCCGGCCTTTAAGAACTTCTAGAAAGGACACGTGATCTATATGCATGACTCAAAACCAGCCCATGAGGTCCAGGTATACCTCCTTTTCGGATGGCTTTGGTGGGTAATTACTTCCGCATGGCCGACTTGGGGCCTGGCAGGACATCCGAGCAACGGATGGTCCGGTCGACCCGGGATGGGTGAGCAAAAGCACACCGAGAGTCCGCTGCACGTTCCGTTCTCTCACCCCGGCACGTTGAGCGCGACACGGAACGTTCGGCGAGGTGCGGACGTCACGGTGTCCACGGTGTGGTCGAAAGCCAACGAAGCCAAGAGAGGTAGCGAGTTCCGTGACCGGGACCACAGGACTGTCACATACTGGGGTACCAAACTGGGATAGTCGAACGTTCAGGTCCTCCAAAAACCTCTGGAGGGTAGAAGTCAAAGCTGGACAATCGAACTTGGGGCTGTTGGTGCCGGAATCCCAGCGTCGCGGCCAGAAAGGATCAACAGCTCGTCGAATACTCTCAGCATGGATATATGTACTAGCCAGGTAGTAGGTAATAACCCGCCTACGCCTACTAGCTATTATGGCTTGATATGTGTATTTTCGGGCGTTCTCAACTCCGGAAACGCGTGTTCCGAGCTGCAATGAAACCATCTTTCCATCGGCAACGAGTTCGGAGGCTCTCCTTCTCTTCCTCCAGGATCTGTCCTGAATTGAAGCGCGTGCGCTTCGCCATGACGAGAGTGTATATATGATCTATAGGGCTCCTGGCCCACCTCCGTTTCCAAGGTGGCACCTCCTCATGGTGACGTCGGGGGGGGACCATTGACCATCGAATCTGTGATATCCAATCAACATCCACAAGGATCCGCGCGGGGTGGCGGCTGCGTCTCAGAGCGTCTCATCATTAACTCTTGAGACCACTTCAAAGGAGTGCCCTAGTAGCTTCTTGTAGTAATGCCAGGAGCTACTAGTAGCTTCCTGCTCCTAGTAGCGATGCCCTTGTCACTAGTGCAAGCTATGATGCACAAGATTTCATGTAGAGCTCCAAACTGAAAACACTCCATCTGCGAGTCCCCCCCAGTGCCGTGCCGTTCTTCTGGCTACTCCAGAATGGATCCGGATCCACCACACGAACCAACAGAGGTTTTAAGGAACCCCCCCAAACAACCAGCAGTTGCGACGCCTCAAGCCTCACCCTTCCTCCTCTTCCCATCTTCGATTCCCCCACAAACCCAGGCCATTCTGTACCCAGGGGCAGTTTTGGGGTGCGATGCACTCATGTCAATTCATTTTTCTCTGGCAAATGCTGGAAGAGAGGTTTTGGAGCAAGTCCAGCTTCAGAAAATCTGGTTTCAGTGGGGTTTAAGCGTATAGGGATGCGAGGTCGCCAGGAATGAATGGACACACGACCTCGAGAACCGGACGCTCCACCCTCGACCCGTGCGTCTGCCATTGACCCGAGCTTCGGCTGGGCGGTTGCACGGCCCGTAGCGCCACACTCTTCAGTTCGCCCCCGGCGTATTCCAGGGCCTGACCAGGTGTCTAGGTCGAGAAAACACCGCTGGACAGAGACAGAGAGAGACAGCCTCTATCAAGTCTAGGGCTCCTGGCCCACATCCCCAGGTTCGGTGGGCCGGTGGATTTGGTGATTCGAACCAGCTGAGCCGTTCCCAAACGGGACACTAATCTCACGTCGCGACAGCATCGAAGATGGTTGGAGTGGGTGCGGCCTAAACCACCGAAACTTGAGGATATGGTTTTTGCCCCAAAAGGGTCAAGTCATCTGACATTCTGCATTCTTCTCCGATTTCACACCTGAGATGCGCGCTTGCGCGCAGAAAAGGACTGGCCCGAGACCTCATGAGGGATTCATGTTCGGGCATCCAGGACTCGGAGACGGCGACTCTATACCTTGGGTCTATCCTAATACCTGTAACAGTGGACGATGATGGTTCAGCTGCAGGCCTTGTGCGAAAATAGTGATTTGCTTGTTTACTGACTGTTACAGGTAATAGGACAGACCCAATCTATACCCAAACTGAAGGACCTCTATCACTGAAAATATCGCCCTTTCTTATCAAAACAGGGATCATCATATACCAGCACCCTCCAGTCCAGGTGTTTCCTGGTGACCATCCAAAACCTATAGAACAACGTAGGGTCTTGAAAAAACTCAGTTTTAGCAACTAAAACCGGGTTTCTCAAAAACCATTCACAAAAGACGTGTTTTTATGGGCAAATTACGGGTTTTGCGCGGAACATGAGAAACCAAGTAGTTTTCCACTGAAAAACTGGGTTTTCGTCGTCTTGTATGCTACGGGTTTTCGGAAAAAGGTCATCTTTTTTCTATAGGGTTTGGTTGCTCCTGGTATACAGTATACAGATTCCAGTCCAGCCGCTTCCGTTGAACACCTCACCCATTCGTCTCCCAATGACGTTTGACGTGTCGCCTCCAAGTTCTGCATCGCCGCGGCCACGAGGAGTTCGACATCCTCGGAAAGAAGGGTCAACCCCTCGTGCAGGGGGGCGAATCCCAGAGGCAAAGACCTTCCCTGTTTCGGCAAAGAGGTAGGTTTTGGAGCAAGGACGCTACGTTCGGGGCTCCTGGCCGCTACTATAGGAACAAGAAGCTATAACAAGAACTACTCGGGGCCCATGCTCCCAAACGCCTCGGGGCCCCGCCACGGCGAGCCCGCGATTCCGCCACGGAGGCGGAATGGCCCAGCACTCAAGGCGATGGTGAGGACACATTGTCGTTTGTTCCGGATATCTGCTGGAATAAAACCTATTTTCCGGAATCTTAGAGGAGAATCCTTGTCCCCACCCGCCGATATGCACCCGGCTGAACTGGTTTTTGACGTGCTAGAAAACCAGTGAGCCACAGATGATCACCACTTGTTCCGCCCAAAACAAGATCACGCTTCTTCTCCTTTTCCTGTTGAAGATTTGCATTGAGTTATCTAGAACCCATTTGACACCTGTTTTGGTCGTGGTCCAAAATAGAGGTCCCTCTCAGGTCTGTGCTCTCACTCCACCTCCACCACGCGGCCGCTTGGTACTCCGCGGGCGCACAGCGCAGGCTGCGCCAGTCCCGCTGCACGGCCTCCAAGACGAAGGAGCGCCGCTTGCGCAGCGCAGGGCCGGCGAAGTGCAAGGCCATCGGGTCGAACTGGCGCCGAGCAGCGGAGCAGCGGTGTGAGGCTGTGTGGGTGCGCGTGGATAGGCGTGGGTGCGGTGGGTGGGGTGGGATGGGAGCTCTAGGGCTCCAAGTACCTCCGTTTCGGTTCGGTGGTTCAGGCATTTTGGGTAAGGTCAGTGCGAGGTCAGTGGGGAGGTTTTGACCGTCAGACACCCGGAGATGCCCGATTGGTCCGTGCCGTGGCCCAAACCTTCACTCTGGAGAGAGCTCCAAACACCCTGCGGGGTGAGGGATGAGTACCAACTTGAATGACCCTATAGACTATCCCATAGGTACCCCAGTAGGGTCCTATAAGGTCACTTAACCTCTCATGGTAGTCAGTTCTTTGATGACTCCTATTATACCCGATTCCGCGACCCGGGACCCATCGGGACCCGTTCTTCTGAACTGGTCAGGGGTCTGGGGTGCAATCCCTACCGCGAACTCGTAGACTTGTCCAAGTCGCAGGTGGTGACCTGTTGGTTTCCGTCCTGGTATGGTTTTGATGGACCACGGGCGGTTTTGCCCAAAATCGATTGACTCCAGACTCCCGCCATCGAAGAATAGCCTTCGACAACTCGACAGCGACGACAGCGACGACAGCTGCCACTCCCACGACTCCAACTCATCTACACCATGGACGCTACTGCCGCTAGTGGAAGGAGTGTGCCAAACACAATACATGGGACTCGCAACTTGACTTACGGCAGGATTTCAGGGGACAATGTAGACCCTATATACCAGGACCGAAACCAAGAGGTGGCTGTGAATAGCCTCTTAGAGGTTTAGGAGGTGTTCAAAAACCACCTGCTGGAAGGTCCGGATCTTCCAACTGTGCAACATTTATGCCTAACTTGCCTGGTTTTATGGATGAAAAGGCACAAATGACCCGCACCTCATTGGAAGATCCAGGTATGCTTTGTAGTCCAAAGAAATGGAGTGTTCGGATCAGATACCGGCCCCACGGTTTTTCAAAACAGCAGCACCTGCAGGGCACAGTTCATCAACTCCTCATCTTCCCGGAGGAAGACCGGTGCATAGTTTCCTCATGGAGTCGGAGGTTCGGTCGACCCCCGCAGGTCGGCACGAACCTTCGTCTGGGAGGTCAGGGAAACGAACCGGACCCGGTTCTTCGGTGGAATCCGAAGGATCCGCGGTCGACCGGGTGGGCCTCAGCAATCCCGGTGAACGGAGGACCAGGAGTCGGGCTGTGAAGGAAAACGGAGCGTCTTGAACAAACACAAAACACTTCAAATGGAAGAAACCAGGCATCGAGATGTATCGATGTATTGATATTGTATACGTCACATCTCTAAACCCCCCGATGCATGTGTCACACTGTCCTGAAAGAATGGTCACCCAAAAAAATCATGGTGTTCATCTCTAGGGATCCACATACCGAACCTCAGGTTCGGTACGACTGGGCCCTCCAAGCCCATAACCAGTCCCCAATCACCTAACCTGAGGTTCGGTACGAAAACGGATCCCGGATGGGCATGGTCTTGTGAAAACCGCTGAACCAACTCTCTCCACCTCGCCCGACACCCGCATCTTCCATCATCTTCCCACCCGACCCCAAGCAGGGAGATCGGGGGTTTGCGAATCCGGGAGTATTTGGGGAGACGCATCGGTCACCAGGCACCCACAACTTAGTGCATCTACCCGGTAATCTACCCCCCCAAAAACCACACCCCAAACGCTTCGTTCACAGCCCGACTCCTGGTCCACCTGGTCCGGTGTTCGGGCTTGCTTCCCCCCCAAACATATCCACCTCCAAACGCTTTCGGCTTCTCTGCCGCGTACCGGTGCTTCCGCCCGAAGCCGCCTCAAGCGCGCGAAGCCCCGCGCGGAGAACCGTGGCCGCGGGGCCGAAGGCTTGCCATCCCGTCCGCTCGTTTTGCTCGAGGACCTTCCGCCAGAAAGGCTTCGACTCCTTCAGGCGCCGGAACTCAGCAGCGTCTTTTGGTTGGTTCGGTGGGTGGGTGGGTGGGTGGTGGGTGTACCTGTTGCATTGCTTCGATTGCTACATGTGTTCAACCGCTTGGACCGGGGTCCGAATCGTCTTTCTCTTCCTCAAACCATCCACGGGACTCTACATACATGAGTCATGTTCAATGGGGAAAGATGTCATTCACGATTCCAGTCCCGTGGATGTTCAATGGGGTAAAAGTCTTCCTCCCAAAGGCTCAGGCTCGCAGGACCCGTTCCCCGATCGCGGTCCGGGCGACATGACCCAACCCGATCGCCAGGGAGAAATGGACCGAACCAACACTGTGGCAGGACCGGTTCGGGGGGAATTCGCCTCGTTCAGGTCGCCTCTAAGCGATCCAAGTGTTTTTGTCAGGACGACTAAGGTCACCTTCTCAGCTTCGGTGTGAGTTCCCAGATGGTGTCCATGTCTAACTCCATGTCGCACACGTGTCTGATGGATCCCATGGAAGCTCTGAGGGTGGCTGGATCCCATGGACGCTCGCTCTGCAGAGCCTCCTTCGTCCCTTCGTCGATGGCACACACTCCCCCTATAGGGATCCAGTCGTACCGAACCTCAGAATGCCCTAGGGCTCCTGGCCCATCTCCTCAGGTTCGGTGGTTAGACCCCCCTGGCACTCACCCCAACCATCTCCTGAGGTTCGGTGGTTGGAGCCCTATAGGGATGTACGACTGGACCCTCCTAGCACCCACATATCAGTGTCGAAGACATCACCTTCTCAAAGGCTCTGTCTGTGGATCCTTGGGGGTCCGTCGATGGATGCTCGGGGTATTCTTCACCATCACAGCATCCTGACACTCTGACAAACCAACAGAGGTGGGTCAGGACCCGAACGTTCGCCTATCCCAGTTCGGTACCCCAGGTTACGGTCCTATTTACGGTCGCTTAACCTCTCTTGGAACGAATTTCGCCCACGCGACCCGAACACGACCGGCCCCGATCTTCCTCGGGTTTGGGGGGTTTGGTGAGGGGTCTGGGGTCTCAAACATCCTGATCAGTTTGGTGAGGGACCAGGGTCTGGGCCTGTGCCAACAAAGGTTGAAGGACCCTATAGACCATCCCATAGGTACCCCAGTAGGGTCCCATAAGGTCACTTAACCTCTCTTGGTGTTCACTCAAACTGAGCGTCGCGCCCAAGAGCTTCCCGAAAGCACACTCCGACGAACACGTGGAGTATCGTGGAGTGTACAGTGTAACAGGAGAGTCGTCTTCCTTTCGGGAGGAAAAGGCCATCCACGTCGCCAATGTGACGAGCTTCGTCAGAGTGTAACATGTGTCCAGATGTTGCGATGCTCCCTAGGGATCCAAGTACCTTCTCAGAAGGCACTTGGAAGGCACTTGGACCCTCCAAACCCACCCCAAACACCTGAGAAGGTACTTGGATCCCTAGGGGACTCCCTAGGGGCTCAATCTTCTCCGAGATACTCGTAGAGGCAAAGTCAAGTGATCAGCAGCAAACCAATACCTCAGTGCCCAAGTGTGGTGGGCAAACTCTGAGCAGGGGTACACCAAACTCCACACACAAAAAAACAGCAGTTCCAATGCTTAAGCATTGAAACACATATTGAAACCACATGAGCCCACGCTGAAACTTTTAGATGATCACCTGGACCAGCACCCCCCCCGATCTCCGAAATGGTGACGTTTGGAGACTTCAAAGTGGTGACGGTGGTGATCAGCTGATCTGGAAGGTCTGGAAGGTGCGGGTAGTCGTACTCCCGAGCTTCCATGGTCTACTCCCGAGCGAGCTCGGAGACTGGAATCACTACACCCTAAGGATCCAGTCGTACCCTCTGAGAAGGTGTTTGGGGTGGGTTTGGAGGGTCCAAGTACCTTTTGAGGAGGTACTTAGGGACAAAGGATTATTGGCTCGAAAGCGGCCATCAACTGCAAAGGCGTCAGGTGACAAGACTCACCCGAGATATCCGGAAAAGAAACAACAACACCATACCCAGACACTCCATGTATGCCATATATGCCTACATTGACCCCCAAAACCACCCCAATGTAGGCATATATGGCATACATGGAGTGTCTGGGATATGAAACAGGCATGATCATTCTGTTCAAGGTTCAATTGCTGCTGTTGGCATGAAATGACCCAGAACTCCACAGGTTTTCCCGGAATGACCCAACAAGAACACCCGCTTTTTGGGACAAACACATCCGCCCAAAACGCCTGCAGTCCCATTTCGTCATTTGGAAATCTCCACTTCTCTGGAGTCTCTGGAGAATCTAAAACAATAGATACAATGTCCCCATCCCTTGGCAGGAAGAGGGGATGAGCGACCAGCGGACAGGGTGTGGACTATCAAAACAGTAACAGTTAGTTCCACTTCTGGTCTCGTCTATAAATCACCTTTTTGAGCTCTGACATAAGCGGGATGGAAGCGGAGTGCGGAGAAAAGGCCGCTCGAACGTCCCTATTAGGAGGAACGGTCGTCTTCCAAACAAACCAGTTTCATCCACATAACATCCATACACTCCATGTATGCCATATATGCCTACATTGGCCCCCCAACCACCCCAATGTAGGCATATATGGCATACATGGAGTGTCTGGGCATGTGATGTGTTCGTTAGAGTGTACACTGTACACCTCATGTACAAATGCCTTCCATCACACTCTTTCATGTATGGATTTAAGCGAACCAGAGAATACAAATGTATCAACTCAACAGTTCCAAACAAGATATGCTTCATGCAAAATAAGGGGTCTAAAGTCTAAACACCTCTAATCATATTTCAGACATGACTGACACAGACCTATATTGGTGTGGTTTCAGGGATCAACGTAGGTACGATATGGAGCTGATTGACCATCCAAGTCATAGCGGGAAGTTTTACTAGCCAAACGCGAGCCGCGACCCTGGACCCTCATATGGAGAGGTCTGGGGTCTCAAATCCCTGGGGGTTGAGGGACCAAGGGCTTTGGAACGTGTAGGTAATCAACAACCTAAGAACATTGGAGCATATGGAAAGGGTCATGCGAAGAGGTCAGGTCCGACCCCGACGAGAAAGAGGGTCCAATGAGTGTTTGGGCAAATCCGCAGTTTCAGCAGTATTCGGATCGCATGGCGCCGTGTTCTGGGATCGCAGATCGCCGGCGACTAAAACGACTCGCGTCCCTGTTCTGCGTCCCGTCATGCCAAGACTCTCCCTGATGGCGTGCAGCATCAGCTCCTGATCCTTCCCTCTGAGCTGTGCAGAGGCATGACGCAGGCAGTTCGGCTGCGCCGTCCGTCCCGTTGCCATGTTGTTGTATTCCTGTGAGCTGCGGGGGACTCGGTCGGAAGGGATGGTGATATTGCAGGAGGCGGCCGGAAGCCTGGCGACCGCGCCAAATTCCGCTGGCCCACCTGATTTCATAGGCTGAATTCCAACGAAAAACATGGAACATTAAGGCTTGTGTTCGATGGTTTTCTTCGGAATTCAGCCTATGACATGAGCGTTTTATGATGTTTGACTCAGGATTTGACACGCTTTTGACACCTGGTCAGTCGAAGTCGAGGCGTCAGTCTGGGCACTGGGCAACAAGCGTGATCTGCGGACGACCCACATCCCGACGGGACGACGGGCAAGTCCTTTTTAGTCCAACGGACGACCCACACCAAACGACCCATTGGTGACGCATAGAGTCTATCGCCCGACCCAGCACCGGTTTCCAACAGGTCTCCAAAAGCATGGAGGGTTGGGTGGGTGGGGGGGAAAGGCCCTGTTGCAGGTTTCGGTCTGGGTGACCTGTTGGAGGTTCTGGTGACTGGTACATGGCAGTGGCTATGAACACCGGGCATCCAGTGGCCTTTTTTTCTCCCAGCGAACATGAAGCGAATGGACGACCGAGTCGGAGGTCAACCTGGTGGTTTCTTAGGAAGTGACCGGTCAGACCGATCCTCTGCTCGAGCAGGAGGGCAGGGCACAGGTGGTGAAGGAGGGCACAGGACGCACGGCAGGGTCAACGTATGGGATCGAACACTGTAGACTTCAGTAAGGCTTCCACGTAAGGTCCGGCAAGATATTCCTTGTGGCAATCTTCCAGCCAAGATCATTCGGGATAGGTCCGACCGTGCTGGAAGACCTTGACTTAAGGGTCACGTTCTGAAGATCACCTTATACATAGACTTCAGGGTGCTGGTGATCTTCACTCAAGGCTTCCGCTGTAGATCGAGCTAGATCTCTAAAGCTTACTTCGCTGGTGGATGCACCGGCCTGTGGCGTACGAAAAAAAGAGTCCTGAACACAACGGCGGAGTGCCACCGGGTCCCCACTGAAAACAGGTCAACCACCCAGACGCTCCGTGAAAACAGCCCTTTCCTGCCAAGAGAGGTAGCGAACGTGACCGTAAATAGGACCCATAACCTGGGGTGCCATGGGATAGTCTATTGGGTTCTTATTCTTCAACCTCTGTTGGTGGTCCCGAACCAAACCATAAAGATTTGAGACCCCAAACCCCTCCTTCCTGAGGCTCCGACCCCGTTGCCCTTGCCATGCGAAACATCTGAAATTGCACTGAAGCATCGGAAACAAGACATGGGATAGCCTGCAGCTCCCAACTGGATCCAACTGGTGCTTCCTCGTACCGAGCTAGCCATGACCGACCCTCAGGTCGAAGTACGACCCCATGCCACATCGGCGTGTGTCATGGAGCCCAGATCATCCAGAATTAGACCGGCAAAAAACACGATGTCAGGTTATATGCTTGTTGGTGATAAGGTATGCCATGGTATGCCATGGTATGCCGGTAGTCCACTCTTTCAGATTCCAAAGCCATCTCAACTTGGGTCTTCTGGTATGTGGCCTTGTTAGACATACATTCACCCCATGATTGATGACCCATCCATGTAGGTAACTGTTCGGGCAGCCGCCCAGTATCCCCAGCATTTCTTCGCCGAGTGTCGGACAGGTCAGGGCCCGTCCACTCCTCGATGTTGATTTGCCCCGAGGGCGCGTCCTTAGGCCAGAGATGTATGTCGACAAACCTAAGCTACAAGTAGCAAAGGGCATCGCTACCAGTAACAAGGGCATTACTACTAGTAACAGGAAACTACTAGGTTGGAGGCCATTACTACTGACTAGTAGTAATGCCCTTGCTACTAGTAGCGATGCCCTTGTTACGAGCGGGCGCGTCCTTAGGCGAGCGATCGAAGAGTCTTCACTTCAAGAGAACACCAACCTTTGACCACCCGTCGAACGCTCCGTTGGTTCGTTCACAGCCTTTTCCTGAGACCCCAGACCCCGTCCGCCCGTGAGGTTCCACAGCGGGGTGGGTTTCCACCCGCTTCTCGTTTCCATCCGCACGAACGCAACCGCCAGCAACCGGACTCGGTGGAAAACCATCTGGAAGCTTTGTCCCGGGAAGGTCCGACCACTCGACCACGACCGCGTGTCAAATGGGAACGATCTAGTTTTGCAGTGGTAAAATCCTTAGAACACGTTTATAGTAAATAACAACCAGCACCTTCAAAGGGGTCACCAATGGAAGCCCCTACACTACTAAGGGACCTCCATTGGACGCCCCTTGAAGGTCCAGGAATGTGTTTTTGGTGGAGGCAATGAAATAGACTTGTGGGCCGTTCGACTTCGAGGGTTTATGGTCGCTCAGCCTCACGGAGAGTCTTCCACCAAACCTTGGAGCTATAGCTATGCTTGGAGGCCTAGGTAGTTTAATAGGGGAAAATCCCCCAGACCTGTTCAATACACACTCAAATGGTGATTCTTCTTCGGCCCTTTGGTAAAACAGCTAGTCCGGAAGAAGGCATGTTCATTCTGATGCATTTGGTGGTTTTCATATGCCACAAATCGATTTTGAATCCTTCACGGGACTCGAATCTCCTGCCCTGCGACACCACCCAAGAGATCTACGATACCTATATCTATACCTTGCCTCACCTCCAATGAAAACATGATCGCCGCCGCCATCTGATCCATGAAATGAAGAAGATCAAGTCAATATTGAACCGTCCGTTCACAGACTCTTCGAAACCTCCCCACACAGCGTCTTGGCAGTCCTCTGATCCCCGATGGTCATCCCCATGACAATAATACAACATAACATATATCGGTGATTTGGATCATGACTATACCATTCTGCTTACACTCCAACCATATCCTCAGAAGGTGGTTAATTAGACAGCCCTGGCACCCACCTGAACCGACACCCTGAACCACCTTCTGAGGATGTGCTTGGAGCCCTATAGGGATCACACACCCACACGGCCAAAAACATCCACACCGCCCCACCTTTCATCCCACACCATCCTCCCACCATCCTCATGCACCACTCCCTCGCCATCCCTGGCTTTTCTCCCGTCCCTCGCAGCTCGCAGACTGATCCCGTCACCTGCCGCGGCGCGCGGATGCCCATGGCCCAGCGCGCCATCTTGGAGTCGTTGCGCAACTCCGGCGAGGCGAACTGCAAGGCCTGAGATGGCCGCGGTGGGGCCAGGACGGATTGGGCCAGGTCGGTGGCCCTCTCTATATGGGAAAATCACTCAATTGTTGAAGTGCCGTAGTTCAAAAAAAATCCCTAGTTTGAATATCCCAATATTGGGTATATTCCAGGGAAGAACCGGATCTGTTTTCTTGAAAAGGTCACATCTCGGTCGCATCGCGGCCGCCACGGCGCGCCTCCCCATCGCGGCACACGGCCGCAGCTACGAAGGACCAGTCGTTCTGCAACTCCGACGAGGCGTGGCGCAGCGCGAGGCCATCCTGGCGCAAGGCCGGGCGCAGGGCTGTGGCAGTCGAAGTCGGGTTTGGGGAGCTTGGGCGAAACCATGTTTGCAGGAGTCATAAAGGGTGGTGTTTAGTTCCCAAGTAAGTGGATAATGGGCACCAATATCCTCCGTTCGTTCGGCACCCCAGCATGTGACTGCTGGTAGGCGATGCGAGTTGAGGAATTTCCTTTGCTTCAGTCGGTCAAACGTATAGTCGAACTGGACTTCTAGGGGGGGTCCTTTTTTGGGGGAGGGGTTGGGCACCCATGACCCAACACCTGAGTAGGATTGGTCAGGTTCTCAGGTTCCAAGGAAAAGATTAAGCTTGAGTAGCATCTGGACGAAGTCAACACTGAACCCCCCCAAAAAGGAAGCCACGAAAACAGAGGGGCATCCCAACAGAGGTTCTACTATCTATTACTATCCCAGTTGACTACCCCAGATCTCCCAGTTGGGCCACCCTAGATATCACTTGCTAACCTCATCACCTCCCAGGTCCTGCTTGATGGCGCTCATCACCACCTCCCGGTTATTGGTGTACTCCTCGGGCGCCAGCGCCAACCTGGAGTCGGACGGGCTCAAGGCCGAGTCGCCGTTGTTTCGAACGTCCGGACGCGATGGCCAGAGTACGTAGGTGGAGGCCAGAAGCGCTTTTTAGGATTGGAGGCCATTAGTGTAGTACGTATATTATATAGAAGCTACCATATAGGTGGGAGATTCCTTGGGATCTTTTGCTTGGTGATTGAAGTAGGACAAAGGGGGTGACAGCACAAAAGCACAGACAGCACATGTTGATATCAATTCAGAACTACTATAGTACTTCACCCCCCAAACACAGGTCAAAGCCCTCTACCAGCACCGACGACCAACAGGTCACCAATTGAAACCTGCAACAGGGCCTAACACCCAACCCTCCATGCAACGGAGACGTGTTGGGTTCGGTCCTGGTATATGGCTCAAACACTCTCCAAATCTCTACGACTTGCACCTGGCAGGGGCAACAATGGCTGTCCTTCCACCGTCACCGACCGTCACCGGGAGGTTTCACCGTCGCCACGCTGCGCTGCCGACTTCGGGTCACCACGTTGGTCCCTTTGAGCCGCAAGGGTTCCAGCCGACCCCATGCCCAGACACGACCTGTCTGGGACTGCCAGTCCGGACTGCCGCCCCAGTGATCGGCAGTCCGGACTGGCAGTCCCAGACAGGTCGTGTCTGGGCATGGAACTCCGTTGATCGTACCAGGACGAACTCTACAGGTCTCCGAGTGATGGAGTCTTGGCTTATGCAGGCGTTTGCCATGTCGCAGGTAGTGACCCGTTGGAAGTTTCGGGTGCTACGGCCATCCTGGACATGGGTGTCGCCCGGATAGTAGTGTAGGGGCTTCCAGCCAGGTGACCCATGTCCAGGATGCTCCTGGTTCCCTGAGTTTGGGGTCGTGGACCTTTAACTCAAAGAGGTCTCTCCAGGAAACTCCTTGATGGGAACCCCAATCCTGCACGAGCAGGCTGAATTCAGGCCTGATGACGTTGACCCGGTGGGTGTGGATTCCACCCGAGTTTCTTTCTTTTTTGCACACCATCAGGCCATATGTATAGTTCCATGCCGGGGGCGCTGAAAAAGGGAGTGCCACCCACAGCCCGACTGCCGGGTCCCGGTCCAGACCCCGGCTCATTGGACCCTATGCAGGTGTCGGACCCGTGCTTCCGCACTGGGACCCGGGGTCTGGACCTTCTCAATCCCCAGGAAAGGGCTGATTTCATGGAGCGTCTGGGTACTCTAGAAAATGGCACATGGCGTCATGGCCCTATAAAAAGAGGTACAACATCACTTAGGTGGATCGGCGATTTGATTTCATGGCTCGTTGTTGCCTTCAGGGCACATCCGGTCCCCGGATGCGACGTCCAAGCGAGCCACCGTCACCCCGGCCCAAACGCGTCGGTCGACATCACGGTCACGGACCCTTGGGCGGCCTGAAACCTGGTGTGGTCGACCGAACCGTGGCAGAAAACCACTGCGAAGATGTCGAGAGTTGGAGATTGATACCCCCAAATACAGAGAAATCAACATCTCTACCCAGCAAAAACCAAAAGGAAACCTGTGACGTCTCCTGTGACTATCAGAATTCGTCCATTCGTTGATCGAAGGCCCATTGGCGGCAAGTGACTTCCACCAATTTCGCTCGATCTCCTGATTCAGATGGTAGCGGCCGAAAAAAACAGGAGCACCACGCCGGTTTGGCTTCCTGGCCAACCATTGATGTCATCATGGTTTTTACATGTTTTACCGAACAATCTAGTTGTTTTACTATAAGGACTTTACACTACAGGTCGTGCCCGAACTCTTGTCCAACAGAAGGCATCTGGGCACACACATCTTCTGAAAAGCCCAACATCCATGGGTTTTGCACCCACAAACAACCGGGAATCGTATATGGAATCGTAATATATCCCAAACACTCCATGGCACTGGCATATTTGCATACATTCGGGTGGTTGATTTCAGGGGTCAATGTACCCTAAGAATCCGAGCCCTCAAACAGCCCCGGACCCCTGCGTTTCGGGGTCGGGTCCGACCCCTGCCATGGACAGCCCAAGGATTCTTAGGGTAGTTAAATTCATTATAATGCCCTAGCCTTCAAAGACCATTAAAAGAACGGTTGAGCTGGTGGTGTAGTGTAAAAATCCTTAGTAAAACAATGGCCCTTTGGTAGAGACCATTAAAACAATGGTTGTATTGAATCCTAGGGAATGGAGTCGCCTGGGACCCGACTCTACAGGTCTCTGGGTGGCTCAAAAAATGGCCGTGAAATCAACACGTCGCAGGTGACCTGGCGTGAAAACCGTCAGGTGCTAGGCCACAAATCGAGTGTCGATGGGTCTGGTTTTGGGATCACGGGCACCGGGGGATCTCTCAAAGGTTGGACGTCCGGAAGGCGCTTCCAGAAGCACGACTGATGCTGATCCTGATACCAGATACTGATGGGACTAGAAGATGTAAATTTACACGTGGACCCCTTTTCAAGCAATCAATCAACCACCTTGAATGTGTGCAAATATGAATCTTTTTCAGGGAGTGTCTGGGGTATGGTTTCCGAGCATTTGTGTCAGCTGCACATTCTGACATCTATTCTGATGTCCATTCCAACAGGCGCCAGGTCGGGGAACCCATGGGGGGGGGGGAGGTCACCTCCAGGTCTCGTACCCTGACCCTGGACCCCTGGACCCTCCGTTCGGGCGGCGCGGCCTCATGGAGGCGTCCAGACCCGAACCAATCGCGGTTTTGGAGGAGCCGGTCGGGCTGTGAACTCACGTAGCGTCTGGGTAGTGCATGTTGCTACAACCCAGAGGCGACCCGAACGAGCTCGGCCCCGAACCAACTGCTACATGTTGGTGAAGGCTCCATTTCACCCAGGCTGGTTTCGGGTCACGTCACCCCTTAGCGATCTGAGGGTCCTGCCACTGAGCCTTTGGAAAGCAATATTATAGCTGTAGGCCCTCACATCCTTTCGCTCTGAAAGGCCCGATGGCTGTTGGTGCCATGGATCTACTTACTCTCTGAGAAAGTGACAGGCAAGAGGGGTCCAGTCGTACCTTCTGAGAAGGTATGTGGATCCCTAGGCGTTGTGAATAAACATCTCATGAAGCATTCTGAAACCACCCAGATCACAGGCACGGGTGTCCATCCTGGCGGGACTGGTCCGGACAGTGTTTGTGCATGTTTCTTCGCCGGCTTAGGGGGGGACCCAGGTTTAACCCCCTCGCGCCCGCCCGCGTTTCAGAAGCTCCCAGCAAACATCGGCGATTCGCCCGCCAGGGCCGCCTTTTCCCAGGTGAGGGCCACCTTCTTCGTGGAAGTCCGGCCCTCGCCCTTCAGGGTCGCTCTGGGCAAGCCAAGCTCCGCTCCTGGACAAGGGCCGATGCGCTAGCGCCAGTGCGCGTCGACGCCTTCCGAAGTCCTTCGAAGGGTACGCACGCACTTCGGACCGCTGGTGGCTTTTGTTCATGCCTTGCATTTGCATGCTTTTGCTCTACCAGGCAGTAGCAGTTCCTATATGTTGCACCCGTTTTCGGCACAGCCCCCTCAGACCCAGAAATGCAGTAAAAAACATCAGAAAAAAAAAACTCAGTGCTGCGCAACACTCTTTGTAGGAAGGTTCATGAGTCTTAAAGGCCTTCACACCCTTCAAACCTACATAACAGATCATAACAGTGTCTCCAATCACCTGCCGAGAAGGTACGAAAACGGATCGGGACATGTTTCATGTGTTAGCCACGTTTCACACAGGTTTCGGAGGGAACATCGAACCTGATGGCTCGAAGCAGAACCGAAAGACAGGACCTCGTCTGGCTCCGACTCCATCAGACTGGCATACCAGTCACGAGGGTGCCCATAGGGGTGCCCTTGTGAAAACATCCACTCACGTAAGGAGACGAAACACCTGGTATTTGCTAATATACCAGCACCTTCGGGGTCACCTGGCTGGTTTCGCCCCAGCTCACGACCTACAGGGATCTCCAGAAAGGACACCCCGACATGAAGGTACAGGTACACAATTTGTGGTTTCAGGGTCCAATGATGCCCAATTTGTAGGGATCCAGTCGTACCTCCTCAAAAGGTACGACTGGACCCTCCTGGCACCCACCCCAGTCCCACCGAACCTCAGAGGGTACGACTGGATCCTTAGAGTAGGCATATATATTTCAGTCCCATGGAATGCTTGGGACTGGGTCCAGACCCGCATTCACGGAGTGCTTGGTGCAAAACAAGACTCTGTGCTATGACTCAGACTGCTGCATGTGGCTGCATGAGCCTCTGTGGCGGATTGCCCAAAGCATGAGGATCGAGATGTGATCTTATAATTGGCTCAATCGGCGAGCCATGTATCAGTGTGGCATGATTTTCTCGAAACTGGACCCACCACTCCCTCCGCAAAAAAAAAGACGCACACCGCACAACAGCAATTCCTCTCCTGTCTTGGTCGACATCCGCGGCAGG